ATCCAGTTTTATTCTCTTACATGTAGCTGTCCAGTTTTGCCAACATCAGCTGTTGAAGAGGTTGTCATTTCCCCATTGTATGTCCATGGCTCCTTTATCATATATTAATTGACCATATATGTTTGGGTTAATGTCTGGAGTATCTATTCTGTTCCACTGGTCTGTGGTTCTGTTTTTATGCCAGTACCAAATTGTCTTGATTACTGTGGCTTTGTGGTACAGCTGGATGTTGGGAAGCGAGATGGCCCCCACTTTATTCTTTCTCAGGATTGTTTTGGCTATTCGGGGTCTTTTGTGGTTCCATATGATTTTTAAGACTATTTGTTCCAGTTCGTTGAAGAATGCTGTTGGTATTTTGATAGGGATTGCATTGAATCTGTAGATTGCTTTAGGCAGGATGGCCATTTTGACAATATAATTCTTCCTACCCAAGTGCATGGGATGAATTTCCATTTGTTAGTGTCCTCTTTAATTTCTCTCGAGTGTCTTGTAGTTTTCAGGGTATAGGTCTTTCACTTCCTTGGTTAGGTTTATTCCTAGGTATTTTATTCTTTTTGATGCAATTGTGAATGGAATTGTTTTCCTGATTTCTCTCTCTGCTAGTGCATTGGTAGTGTATAAGAATGCCACAGATTTCTGCGTATGAATTCACTGCATCTGCAAATTGTGACAGTTTAACTTCTTCTTTACCAAACTGGATGACTTTATCTCTTTGTGTTGTCTGATTGCCATGGCTAGGACATGGTATTTGGCATTAAGTTGAATAAAAGTGGGGAGAGTGGGCATCCTTGTCTTGTTCCAGATCTTAGAGGAAAAGCTTTTGTCTGTTCACCATTATGATGTTAACTGTGGATCTGTTGTATATGGCCTCTATTATGTTGAGGTAAATTCCCTCTGTACCCATTTGTTGAGAGTTTTTATCATGAATGGATTTTGAATTTTGTGAAATGCTTTTTCAGTCTCTATTGAGATGATCATGTGGTTTTCATCCTTCTTTCTGTTAATGTGGTGTATGACACTGATTGATTTATGAATATTGTACCATCCTTGCATCCCTGTAATAAATCCCAGTTGGTCATGATGAATGATCCTTTTGATGTAATTTTGAATTCAGTTTGCTATACTTTGTTGAGGATTTTTGCATCTATATTCCTCAGGGATATTGGTCTATAATTTTCTTTTTTTTTTGTAGTGTCTTTGTCTGGTTTTGGTATTAGTTGATACTGGTCTCAGTGAATTACTTTGGAAGTATTCCTCCTACTTTTTTGAGTACTTTAAGAAGGATGTGTATTAGCTCCTCTTTAAATTTCTCGTAGAATTCAGCCGTGAAGCCATCTGGTGCTGTACTTCTATTTGAGAGGCTTTTTTAAATTACCAACAAGTAATAGAGTTTTAGATTCAATAGATATGCTCCAGGTGCTACATATATAGAGACTAACGTACAGTACTTGTCTTTGTAGACTTTACAATATGGTGAAGAACATAAGTAAACAAATAAGTACAGTGCAATGTGGTTGTCATAAGAAATGAAACAATGAAAACACAAGATGTGGCAGCTAAGTCCTGTGGAGTAGGAGAAGCTGACATAAGAGATTTCTGGGAGACATTTCCAGACCTTTTATTTACATTTTGAAGGATCAGTGGTCCTGAGATCTCCTTTCAAAATCTCATAATTTTTAGTATAGGAATATTTTTTAACAACAATATACAAAAGGATATTTGAATATGTTGGCATCAAGTAAAGAAAACATTCCCAGAAGTGGAAAATACCAGTGTTCCATTAAACAAGATAACTCAATAACCACCTTACCTGTCTTGCAGTAACTCAACTGGTTTAATCCGGAAGTCTCCATTTACTACAATTTCATGGGCTAGAGCCATATTAGTGACTCCTTTTGCTGTCTCTAGAAGTTCTTCTACTGTCACAAATTGAGGAGGACTAGCTGTAACAAAAAAATCCAGTATAAGAGATTTGCTTCTCTACCTTATAAATTCTATTAAAGGAGTAGGTAGTGGCCCTGGTATCAGCTAATAATTTCAGTTATGCCTCTATTTATGAAAATACTCTAGTAATAACAAACAAAAATAGAATTTCACCCATTTCATATTCATTTTTTTAAACCTAGAATCCTAAATGCAGAAATCATTTACAATCATCAAAACATCTGGTTTCTTACAACTGATCAATGGAAAATGATTACAGGCATACCTCATTTTATTGAACTCTGCTTTACTGCACTTTGTAAATATTTTATCCTTTACAAAATAAAGGTTTGTGGCAATCCTATGCCAAGAAGCCTATCATGGTGCCAAAAGCACCATTTTTTCCAACAGCATTTGCTAACTTTATGTCTCTGACGCATTCTGGAAATTCTTGCAGTATTTCAAACCTTATTATGTTTGTTATGGTGATATGTGATCAGTGATCCTTGATGTTAGTAATTATTGTGGGGTGCCAGGAACTGTTCCCATCTAAGACAACGAACGTAACTGATCAATGTGTGTGTTCTAACTGCCCCACTGACCAGCCATTCCCCCACTGCTCCCTCTCCTTGGGCCTCCCTGAGACACACAATATTGAAATTAGGCCAGTTAATAACCCTACAACTGTCTTCAAATGTTCAAGTGAAAGGAAGAGTCACATGTCTGTCATTAAATCAAAAGCTAGAAATGATTAAGCTTAGTGAGTAAAGCATGTCAAAAGATAAGATAGGCTGAAATCTAGGCCTCTTGTGCCAAACAGAAATTAAAAGTGCTACTCCAGTGAATGTATGAATGA